AGTTTTCATTTGGATGGATATTCCTTTTTTTTGGTTGGGTAAGTTTTATTTTCATTTAAATTGCTTTATATCATTCACTTTAAAAACATGGGTGTTTAGAGAATCTGATTTGTTGTGTACAGGATGGATTATGGTGAGTGGACTGAAGACAGCAGAAATAGATACAATAAGTGGGATGGAATCTCTCGCTGCACTGCACAGGTTCGTCTTCTTATTGGAGCATCTGTAATTCTTACCCCAAAAAGGGAAAAAAAAATTCTGTGGAATAAGCCTATATGAATATGATGTTGTGTTACAACTTACAATATGGATGCTTAGATGTTGATTGAGGTTGCTATTTTTTCTCTGGTGACAGTTTTAGATTGTGGTTTTTTGAAACGAATGGCCACATATCTATTATCCTGGATCGTCTTATTGTTCATGCATTGATGTTATGAAGTTATGAGGATGACTTTGCAATGCTTGTTTTTTTAATTTTTTTTATATCTTGCATTAAGTGCTTTTCTTTTGCGAATGTGTAGGTTTTCCCTGGTGCATGGACAGCAGTGCTCGTCTCGCTTGACAACCCTGGGGCATGGAATCTTAGATCACAAAACCTTGATAGATGGTATCTGGGCCAAGAGACATATTTGAGAATTGTGAATCCAGAGGAGAATGGTGAAACAGAGTTTGGTGTGCCTGATAATGTTCTGTATTGTGGTGCCCTAGCCTACTTGCAGAAGTATGCTAACAATGCCATTAACTCATTCTCCCCCTCTCTCTCTCACACTCTAGATGAATGTTTTCATTCTAACTTTTCCTTCTTTGGCATCTTCAGGGAACAGAAGCAGTCTTCTGCAACATCAATTTCCGGGGTCAAGCTCTTCTCCCTGCTAATGGCATTCTTCACTTTGGTTTTGTACTTTTAGATGATGACTTTATTGGTAGCTGTTGAGAGGTCCTATGGTTCCAAGCAGCGGCAGCATTTTCCTGCTGAATTGCTGGGGGGTTCCCATACATATCTTAGAGTTTAGGTGTGCAAATCAAGTCAATCGTGGTACATTTTTTTTTCGTGGTTTTAGTGACATTTGCTTATTTTTTTGAATTTTGTGGAAGCAATACACATACAATACCGTGTAATAGGTCTTTTCCTGATCCAACATTCTTTTGTGCGTTTATGTGTGTACTCATGATGATGATTATTAACCCATTCTCAATCAATCTATCAATCCGATAACATTTGACTTCCTTTAAACTCAACTTGGCATGCGTTTGATGTCAATTTCTTATCATTATTTTTGGGTATATAAATAAGTGCAAGAATTCTATAGTGTGGGCCTTATATATGGCCCTTAGGTAAGACCCTATCTGTTAACCGTTGGATTAAATTGGTTTGCTTAATTTAACAATTAAGAGATAGGACCTCACCTAAGAGCATCTACAATCATGCTCTCTATTTCTTAGTTAAAATTTAGCTTAAAACATATAAAAGCTATTTTAGGAGCTCCTTATAAAATTTAAACTTCAACTGTGTTCTCTAGTTTAGGGAGTCATAAATGCTATAAATCTTTTTTAATTGGTCAATCACTATTAAAAATAATATAAAAAATAGTTAGCATTAATTAAAAGTTTGAAATACTCATTAAATTATAGGGAGCTACTAGAAGTTCTTTCTCTCTCCTCAGATTAAGGAGCTCCTAGAGGTCTCCCTATTTTAGGAAGTGGATAGAGAGCATGGTTGGAGTTGTATTTTTCCAATATCCTCCTTAAAATTTGTTTAAGAAGGTGGTTTAAGGAGTCTATTGTGGATGCTCTAAGGGCCATATATAAGACCCTCACTATAGAATGACTGTAGATAAGCTTTTTGTTTAAATTTTGCTATGATTGGACCGGCCCTAGAGTTTCATGAATCTTTGAGGCCCGTTGGTGGCCCATATACAATCAAAATTTGCACCCCAATATGTGAGGCTATACTTTGCACCGTCAATAACAGGGGCTTATTCAGACCCAAAATTAAACAAGGGCTTACGAGTAAGTCCTTAATACTCATCTAATCAATGAAAATGTTATTAGTACTATAACTCCTCGTTATAGAAGTTTGCCTCCACCTATGATCCATAAATTTGTTGAGACGCAGATCAAATAAATTTTACAATATGATCAAGGACACCTGCAAAAGCATGTCTAGGGTGGGCACCGAATATAGAAAGGGTTGAATTTGTGGGTTTGATTGAAGAACATGATAGCACGAGTCACATGGTGTGCTTGTTTATTATTATGCATACTTATGATTACATTGATATCTTCCTTCTTCCGCAAACAACAATTTGAGATAAATTAATGCATTAAACCTTAATTATCAATCATAATTACCTCTCTAAAATACCATTTTGTTCATGTCATGCCTATGGCAACATTCTCTTCTTGGTCAGAATTTTTTTTTTCCATCCCAAGCCTCTACATATAGCTATCATGCATTGACTCGCATTTCGCTACATCCAAACCATCCTAGTAATCTAACTGCTTAAAACATGCCACATCATCAAACTTGAGTTTTTATTTATTTTAAACTCACGTTTTATGCCTTCAGTTTTGAGTGTCTTGCCTGGTTTGAGTGTATTTCTTCTGATTGTTCATCGTACGACTTTCTCCTTCCTTTGTAATTCAGTGAATTAATATTGCCCATTATTTGGAGAGTTTCATTTCCAACAAGGCAAAACTAGTTTTTCTATCTTCTTTTCCTTTTTTCTTTGCACATATTTTTTTCCTTCCTCTTTTGATTGAAAGATATCAACACAAGGTTTTGCTTATCAGTGGAGGAAGAAGAAGGTAGCTAATTGAAGTTCAAATTCAAGGAATCATATAAACTTCCATTGGCATCGCTCTTTCTTCCCAAAAGGCGAAGGAAAAAGATATGTGAACTGGAAGAAGGAAAAAAAAAAAAACAAACTAATTTTACTTGATTGGTTGGGAATTGAAATTTTTTGCATACATTGGAGTTTTTCCATTACATGACAAAGCAGGAACTCAATCCAGGTGAAGACGCTCAAGGCACGAAGTTAGAAAAAAAATATTTAGAGCATTAATGTTAGTTCAACGTCAAATTTAGAAAGAAAAAAAACTCGAAGCTTGATGATGTGGCATCTCTTAAGCATTTAGATTATTAGGATGACTTGGATGTAATGAAATGCGGATAAATGCAAAATAGCTAAATGCAAAGGCTCGTCCTCTTAATTAACTTCTCCCTAGTTTGCTGCTCTCTTGGACCATGAGCATGCCTAATGAATATGTCGCTGGCTCCGTAACTTTAATTGATTGCTTGAAATTGAAAGGGACTTTGGATTAAGCTTGACTTGTCCACAAGCAAATCCAAATAGTCTATAATTTATATTTATCCCACTTATTATATATAGCAAGTCAATGTTCTCAATTGAATTTCACTTCCAACCTTTTATTGGTTTCTCTCCAAAATTCAAAGTTGGTGCTGATTGCCTTCACCATATCCCTCACTGCAACTTCAACTGCAACATCTCCAACTTGGAAACTCGGAGCACGTTCATGTGTTTGGTAGTTACCATACCTTATATTCAGCTTCATCATGATTAAGTGTGCCGCCGCCATAAAGGTTAGTAATTATTCAAGTATTTTTCTTTTTATTTTTTTCAACAAATTCAGCATGACATTCTGCTACTATCAATCTAGCTAGAGTCGGTGTCGGTAGCGTGTTTTTGGTTTTCAAGTTGGAAATAGGTTTGTTTTTTTTAACGCTTCATGGTGCCAATATATAAGAGAAGGGGTATAAAATTGCTCAACTTTTCTTTGCTAATAGCTTTAGATTGAAACTTAACCTATTTAAATGGTTGACAGTGAAATTTTGACTTGGTTTCCTCAACCTCTCCATATCATCAGGCCACGTCTTTACGTCGATCTGTCCTGTTTTTTTTTCCCTGTGACTGAGAACAAATCTAAGCAGGGACGAACCCAGGATTTTAAAATCGGGTGGGCTAAATTTACCTTATGTATGCATCGGAGAGTGGAACATAAAGGTCCAACTACTGCAACGTAACAATTCGTTATTCTTTTTATTTATTTTTTCACTTAAAATGGATTATGTGTGAAGAGGCCTATCACTGGAAGGAAAATTAGGAGTAGGTTATTCAAAAAAAAAA